TTTTTTCTGTTGTGGTTTTTGTCTCTTTTGTTTTTTTTATTTATGTGATGTTTTTTTTGTTTTTTTTGTTGTTTTTTTTTTTTGGTTTAATTGTTGAAGGGGTGGGGTGTGGGGGGGGGGGGGGGGGTAGTGGGGGGAGGGGGGGGGGGGGGGGGGGGGGGGGGGGGGGGGGGGGGGCGGATTTCCCCTGGCTACTTTCCTAGGAAAAGTAGAACCAAAAGTACACGCTAGCTTTGATTCCCCGGCTATTCTACTTGCTGTGTTTCCCCAGCAACTCAAAATCTTACTGACAGCCCTGAATATTACGATCTTACTATTTCCAACCCTTAATATAATATATACATTATTAATACTTAATAGGTTCCTAGAGATCGGTGGACTAGTTTGGTAGTTTGTTTCCCTAAAGCAAAGCATTAAATAAATTTCGCAAACTATGAGGAAAAGACGTTCTACACAAGTGAAAAATTAAAGAACAACCACTAACAGATTATGAGCCTAATTTCGTATTCTTATGAAATATAAAATATGAAGAAGCATAAACAATGTAGAAACCCCAAGGAAAAAATAAGTAAGCTTCCAAAAAACAAGTGGTACATCGAAAAAAAGGACAATCGAGCTTTGAAGTTCAAACAAACAATGGCTACAAACCTTGGAAATACTCGAAACACGGTACCACCTTGATGCTTGACGGCCGCCATCTTGGAATTCTTTTTTAGACCCCAGGTTCCCGCTTCGCGCAACACGCAACAGTGCGAACCAGGGCGCCCTGGTGCGAATAGACGTTATTTTTCGCGCGTGTGTGGCGCTTCACACCCGCCAGCCCAAGTCCGCGTCACGCTTGCCTTCTCTCACCTGAAGAAGGCGAAAAAATAACGCCTGCTTTTCAGGTTACTGATCAAGGGTATTAAGGTTTTTTGACAAAAATACTATTTCAGTGAGTGGCATAAAAGATAACTAAATTTATGGTCCCCTGGGTTTTTGTTTTATTCAGTTTGGGAGCGAATGTTAGCGCCTTCGAGGCAATGGAGGGTATCAAGACTCTCGAGGGTACTACCTATGTGTGGCAGGTATTGGGGAGGACAGCCTCGTCCCTAGGGAGTCTCCCCTTGAAAATGGGAGGAGCAGGAGGCACCCCATCCATTTTCTGACGGAGAGGCCTGGGGACGAAGTTGTAAGGAAGAAGAGAGGCATTGAGAGGCATCGGAATACATAGGCGTTCCTGGAAGCAAGGAAGGGATTTCTCTTTTTTCTTCCCGGCGCGCTCAGCACGGCCATCGCGTTCTCACGCAAGGCAGGCTACGGTCCGAAATAGGCTAAAATACAAGTAAAAACTCACGAGGAGAAAAGGACTGCCCCGGTGAGGGATCACCCCCTTTCTAGGACGGCCCGCGCCAATTCGGTGTTTAACCCCATCTCACCAAGATAGACAGAAACCCATGCCAGGAAGAACTCATAGCAAAGGGGTCAATAAGACGAGGTAGTGACAAAAGAAGGCTAGACTGAGGAATACATGGCCCACTAAATATCTAACTTAAAAAATTCCTCCCGCTTTCCCGCAGTCGTCTGATTTTCATAATAAATTCTGACATCGACGGCGGGACTGCGGGAGCACTAGTATACCTCGTTCTATAAGCACACTTGTTACCTGACATCAACTGCCGGGGTACGGGACTGCGGGACCACTCGTTTTTCTCACTTATATTTATGTATTCGTCGACTACTCGACTATGCGTCTACGGGCCAAGCACAATAGAACACGACAACCTCGTCGCCAGGGCGCTTTTCCCTGAGGAAAAAGCGCCCTGGCGACGAGATTGTAGAACACGACTGCGGGATCGTGGGAGCAGTTTTTACTCCATCAGACTAACCTCCTCTAGATGGTGAGCTCATAATTTCTGGTCTCAAGTAGGGTTTCAGCAATTAAACTACCATTTCTCCAAATCCTGACCCTGTTTCAGTTAAAAAAATGCCATTTTTCACACCCGTTTTCAGACCTGGCCTCTAAAATCCATACCCATTCTCAGACGTAGCCCTTAAGAAATTATGTCATCATTACTTAGATTAGATCAATTACGTTCGTACACTTCCGTAGTTCCATTGAAAACCATACCTGATTCCAGATTAAAATGAGCACAGTCTATACCCGTTTTCAGACCAAAAAGGCGCAAAAACCCTACCCTTTGGAGCGGCACATACCTATATGGTTTACATGGGGAAGTACCCCCCCCCCCCCCCCCCCCGCGCCAGACCCCTCCCCAACGACGATCACTGTTTGTTTTTCCCCCTCCCCCCGCCCACACCCCCCGGCCCACCCTCTGGAAGTCCCCCCCCCTCCCGCCGTTCCCGCGCTCTCGGCGCCTCCCTCGCTTTTTGTAACATTTCCCTAGTTCCGTGGAAAACCCTACCGGAGTTCAGATTACAATGAGCACAGGCTTGTCCCGTTTTCAGCCCAAAAAGGCGCAAACACCCTACCCTTTGGAGCGGCACATACCTATAGGGTTTACATGGGGAAGTACCCCCCCCCCCCGCCCAGGGCGAGTTACCCTGTCTAAAGAGCGTTTAGTTTTAGTTTACCCCTCTGCCCTAGCCAAAAGCGCTTGCGCATGCTCTGATAGTCTCTCGCCTTGACCGAGTTGACTCGGCTATGGGGCCTTCCTCGGTGTTTATATAGAGAAAAGTTGGCCCTGCTAGCAAGGTGACCCTACCATTACAAAAGGGTGACTTAATGGCCACCCTTATAGCCGAGTCAACTTTGTTTCTCACGTAAACAGGTCGTCATATTTTATAAGGAAATTTATGAAAAGTTGGCTCGTCCAGGGTATCTCGGTTAGGCCCGAGTGATCCGTCTACTCGGGACACCTTTCGGGGCCTTATTCAACCGCGTCCAAGCTCTTCAATCAGACGCTTTTCTCCCTGCAATCCAATTTCAAGTTCTTAAAATAACGTTGACTTTAATCTAAGACTTCAAGTCATATTCAACAAAAAACTTCCCAACTCGATTTTCTACTAGTGGCCATGTTTTAAGCTTTTTTAATAAGACAGTGTAACTTGACCGTAGGTGTCTTCACTCGATGTGTTTTGCAGTTCTACTCGAAAAGTCTACTTTTTACCTTTGCCCTCGTTCTATTATTAAACACAACGTTGCAAGAATTTCTGTGTTTTTAATATAAGATTTATTGCGAAGAGAACTAAGTAACTGGTGAGAGGAAACTGGTTAAAGAACTTTGTATCGTGACACTGTTAACAATTCCCGGAGGGAAGTCCTACATGAATCTGATGAAGACACTCTTCGCGGAATTCGTCTTGCTCAAAGGAGTTAATGCATACTTTTGTCTCAATGCACGCGTTTTAGGATTGCTGGGATAAAAGCAATCATGTCACGTGGTATTTCAGGGGGCAAACAAGAGCCAATCTGTTAGCCTGTGGGCTGTTTTCTCAGGCTACCAATACGAGTAATCGCGGCCAAGTTTGTATGGCTGATTTAGCAACAGAACGTGAACGTCATTTGACGACAGGAAAAGCGCACGGAAAGGACTAAACTTGACTTCCGGTCCCCAATTTGCCCCTCTGCCATTGGTCAAGCCAGTTGTTTAATTTGCGCGCGCCCTCGTCAACTGACGTTCCCGTTCTGTTGCTAAATCAAATAGTCGTGCAAAATGTACAGTTGGAGTTTCGCTAAGTTTTACGTCATTATTGCATGCTGTGAGGACACTTTCGCTAGCTACTGCTTCCAGAAAAGTGACAATGATCACCTCCACACGTAGATCGTCAATAGCGTCTTAAACATAAAAGGTTATCCGATTCCCTTTGTCTAGAATAAACAAACTCGACCGCGATTTCTTCAATTGGCAAATTTTATCACTTATTTGCCCCCTGAGAAACCACGTGGCATTGCTTTTAACCCGCTAGCAAAGACGGCCAGTGTCGTGAATAAGGTCTATTACAATGATCACCTTATTTTAGAAAAAGTTAACTTAGAATGCACCAAGTGCGCTATTTTCTACAAAGGTGCGAAAATTTTTAATAATTCTTAGAATTTATAAGTGTTCGAATCTTCCGTTTAGTGTAACTATTTTATAATATTGTAATTTGATCTTTATCCATATTTTTTAATCTTTTTTATTTTTTATTTTTTATTTTTTACAGGACCTGCATTGATAGTAGTTTTTTCTTAACACTGATGCAGCAAACCCGTATAGATATGTTTAAATTATTATTATTATTATTATTATTATTATTATTATTATTATTATTATCTCTTTTATCACAGTCTTTGCTGGTGTTCTTTTTGTGCATCAGCCGGACGCAAACCATGCACCTAGAGCGTCAGTCACTCAAGTCAATCATTCTGTTCATACACTGAGCACCTTTCTGAGGATTCGCGCAGATCCCAGCATGCAGATCTTTTGAATCTCTGTCATAGTAGCTCTCTCTGATACTTTCTTGATGTTTTTTATCATACCCTTCTTCACTGTACCAAGCGCACCAACAACCACAGGGATTACTACGGTTTTCATATGCCACATTCTCCGTATTTCTAGTTCTAGGGCTTTGTACTTGCTTTTTTTTCCAGTTTCCTTCAGTGCAATGTTTCTATCTGATGGAACAGTCATATCAATCAGTTTGCAGGTGGAATTCACCGAATCTTTAACGATGATGTCTGGTCTGTTTGCTGTTATAGTTCTATCAGTATTGACTGGCATGTCCCACATGATGGTGATGTTGTTATCTTTATTGTGCATCACAGTCTCTGGCTCATATTCGTACCATTTGTCTGTAATATCTATATCATGATCTTTACATATGCTCCAATGGAGATATGCTGCAGCATTATTGTGCCTGGAGATGTACTCTGTTTTGGCTAATACCTCACATCCAGATACAATATGGTCCACTGTCTGTTCATGTTGCGAACACAATCTGCATTTGCTCTCCACTTGCTGGCCACGTATTATTTTCTGGTAGTTTCCGATGTTTATTGCCTGATCTTGAGCTGCTACAAGTAGTCCTTCTGTTTCTCCTTTCAAATTACTTGACAACCATTTGTTTATTATTATTAATAATAATAATTAATAATTAATCACTCGTTTAATTAAGAGAAAACATTGGACTTCTTTCAGTCCTATTACCATACTCTGTTCTGTTGCCTTTCAGTCCTACAGTTTGTATTACCAGCAGTGTAATAACCTGTCTAGCAAGTGTTTCCGCTCGAGTTAATGCCATTTTTTATGTTCTCGCTCCAAGTTTTTGTTCGGGCTATCTCATCAACAGCCTTTGATATACCGACACACCTTTTAGATTCTTAAAATGAGTGACACGGATCTGATCTTTTCCCTCCTTCATAGTGATTTTGGCTACATTTTTTACATTACTTTGATAGCAAGTCTGACTTTTTGAGCTGAGATGAACAGGTAATTCATGTTTAATTTTTTTTGTATATTGATAGACGATTGATAGAGGGCAACTGATTGCCAACAGTATTAGAGGAGTTCTGGCTCTAAAACTTGGAAACAATTAGGTATAACACTATACCAGTAGCTTTTGCGCCTGCACAAAAACCACACCGGATTGGACTTCTGCATAACAACGGTCATTCCGGCGCGATTTCACTCTAACGGTAGATTTCCATTGTCGCGTAATTTTTACGTACGTAAATGAACTAGAGGCAATGTATGGAAGGTCACTCGTACACGTTTAAGTTGAAACTCGCTCAACTTTACTACTTTTACGCGCTTCCTTTTATACATTGCTTCTACTTTACTTACGCACGTAAATTTACGTGCATAAGCACGTCAAATTGCGCAACAGTGGAAATCCACCATAATGGAGCGAAGCCGCGCCGGGCCGATCTCTAAAGTGGAGAGTCACATATCAGGGGCACACAAGGAGAATATAGTTCAAAACCACTTAAACATAGCATTGTTAAACATATTTTAGTATTTAAACGGTAGATATAGGCATATTTTTATTCCCTAAAAATTTTTCACCTGTTCGGATTTCCTAGCTGAAAGTCTAGTGATCGGAAAATTATAGGGATCAAAACTTACCTTTTCGAACATTTCAGCCAGAAAAAAGGCTCCGAAAATTCTAGGAGACCCTTTTAGGGTAAAAATCCGTTAAAAATGAGCAATTATACCATTTTTTAGATGCTCGAAAATCCTAAGAGAGGCAGGCAAGCAAGAAATTTTACAACAAATGTTTCGAAAATTCTAGATCTCAAATCGTCTTCCGGACAGATATTTTCCGAAAATTGACGTTGGGTACCCCTGACATATCGGGTCAGATGTTCATGCCATACTGGATAGCTTTTCGTGTCGACATTGAAAGCTATCCAGTTCCAGTATAGCATGAATATAGCCTTATTCTTTGTTTAAGTTGTTGTTTGCTTATTTGTTTGTTTTTTCATTGTTAGAGTATTCCTCGTTATATGCGCGGTCCCAGCGTGAAGATAATAGGCCTCTTACTACTACACGGGTTCGTCGTCCGTCCTGAAAGTTACAGACCGAGTTTTTTCCTCTCGAATTTATGAACCAAGAACTATGAAGCGAGCGGGCTATAAAACCGACAGAAAAAAGATCCTTATTTTACAGTGCCTATTGTGAAAATAAGGACCTAAAGATCGGAGGACGACGACGGCAGCGAAAACGTCGCTTTAAAAGTAAATGCGCTTTAGTTTCTTCAATCTTCATCTAGAATGGTTTAAGAGCTACGTGCATGATAGTAAGCAGTACGTACGAATTGGCTCTGAAACGTCCGGGATGCGTAAATCTACACGCGGAGTTGCCCAAGGATCCATTCTGGGACCGGCCTTATTTATTGTGTACATCAACGATTTGCCTGGCGTTCCAGATTACTGCCCCCGTGACGAAACCCGCCACAAAAGTGAGTCCTCTCGAACGATAACACCGAGCATAGACAAACTCAAGAAAACACGTATATTAAAAAATAATGCTCTAAACGTTTATTAAAACCATACTTCCAAAACTTCACGATTTTAAGATTAAGTAGGCGTTTCTATAATTATACTCGTTTCCCTAAACAATTAAAACGGGATAATTATTCTAATTTCTAAAGACTAATGCGATATTACTTTTGATAATTATTTTACACAACATACACAGCGGTTTTTGAACTACTTAGTAGTTCAAAACAACAGGGGCCGCCCAAGGACTTGGGGAAGGACGAATTATACCCATTTCTAACATTTTCTCAATCTCTTTGTTGACCTCCGCTTCGAGTCTTGAGGTATTCTATAGGGTATAGTTCGAATGGGTAACGACCCGCCAGTGTTGATTTTGTGTGTAGCTACATTCGTTAAGTTTGGTTTTCCCGAAAGCACATCAGAATACTCATGTAATAAATTTCTCACCTGGCTCCTTTGACCTTCGGTTAAGTCATCCGAGATCATAACATCTTCCCAGGTTTCCTCGTGACCAAAGGGGAGAACATTGTTTTCATGGGGTAATGGGATTTTTGGGGACTCTTCCATCACTAGAGCGGCCATTTCGTCTCTGCTCTGCCATTTACTTAACAAGTTAATATGATAAGTTCGATGCTGCTTGCAAGTCTTACCCCATCTTCTAGTGCTCTCGTGACTGTAAAGGGTCCTTGCCATTTCATCGCTAATTTACTTCCAGGGGTGGGCAACAAAACTAAGGCTGTGACGAGACCCGCCACAAAAGTGAATCCTCTCCAACGATAACACCGAGCATAGACAAACTCAAGAAAACACGTATAAAAAAAAATAATGCTCTAAACGTTTATTGAAACAACATTCCCAAAACTCCACGATTTTAAGATTAACTAAGCGTATCTATATACTCGGTTAAAGACTAATGCGATATTAATTGTGATAATTATTCTAATTTCTAAAGACTAATTCGATATTACTTTTTTTTTTTACACAAAATACACACGCGATTTTTGAACTACTTAGTCTACTCTACAACATATTTACAAATTATCTTCTTCGAACACGTAGTAATAGTTCCCTTTTTAGTTCACCTTACGTATAAAACAGAGTTCCTCGTCTTTCCTTTAGTCCAGCCCGCCGCGACTCCCTCCGAAGACAACACCACTTTTACTCGATCCCAAAACCTCCAAACTCCAGTAGCCGCCTTTCTCTTATATCTTTCACAGACTTGCTTCGGCTTCGGTGTCCCGGTCTGCCGCTGTTCTCTAGTTCAGTTTGGTTTTCGGCAACCGTTCTTGGAGAGATATTACGGTCTCCACAATACTTTTCCTGCTCTCTCAACTTTGACAGCACATCAAACTGCTTTCCCCCGACAAAATGACTTGTTTTGCCGTGAAGTTAAAAGGAACGCCTCTGCTGAAGGGATTTCAGTAGAACGGCTTGTGCTTCAAGGTCTCTCTCCTACAGTCTCTTTGAACGCGCCCTCCGCACTGACTTTTTAGCGACGCGGCTCCTTCCTAACATCTAAACACTTCCAAATCCCCTGCAAATGCAAGGTGTGGCAAAAAGGGATCATTGTAAAAGGTCCAATCTAGTAATTAACGGCTTACAACCAATAGAACGGCTTACAATGAATATTTTACCTAATTAGTTTTATAACGAACAATAAAGTACCAACTGCAACAATAAAAGTTACACAATAGCGTACACGGCAAAAAATGCTTAAACAAAAAAAACATAGCATAAAAGAAGTAACTATTATTAATTAGGCATTCTATGACCCCAACTCCAATTTAAATTTTAAATTTTTTTATAACTCAAATTTTAGGTACAGGATAACCCTTTTTTGGGAGGTTATTTTAACTCCTAATTTAACCCCGAATTTGGGGTCATTTTTACTGCTGAAAAAGAGTTGTTTTTACTCCCAGTCTGGAGTTAAAATAACTCCGAATTGGGCTTATTTTTACCCCTTACATGGGTTGTTTTTTACTCTGTTTGGAGTTTATTTAACTCTGAAAGTGGAGTTTTAGGTACAGGATAACTCCTTTTTGGGGTTATTTTAACTTCTCAATATCTGGGGTCACTTTTACTCCTGAAAAAGGGTTCTTTAAACTCCTTTTTAGAGTTACAATAACTCCCCCAAAAATATCTCCACTGTAAGGAGTTAAATTTGCTCCACTAGAGGAGTTATTATAACTCCTTGAAAATTACTGTGTAGCCTAAGCGAGCGATGAAAATACAACAGTAAAGCTTACTTAAACCCTACTAAGCGCATCTACGTTACAGTTCTGTTTACCACTTTTGCGTTCGACTACCATGTCATATTCTTGTAGAGTAATGCTCCACCGCAGCAGTTTGCTGCTCTTATCGCGGACCTGATTCAACCACACTAAAGGGTTGTGGTCCGTTTGCAGCTAAAAAGTACGGCCATACAAATAGTACCGAAACAGCTCAACAGCCCATACAATACCTAAACACTCCTTCTCTGTAGTGGATACCTTTTGCTCTCTAGGCTGAAGCTTTCTACTTGCATAAGCTATAGGGTGTTCCTCCCCTTCCTGATATTTCTGGCTTAAGATTGCCCCAAGACCTCTATTCGAGGGATCTACTTACAAAACGAATTCGTCCTCCCAATGTGGCGGTCTCAAAACAGGAGGGTTCTGCATAGCAGCTTTTAGATCCTGAAATGCCAATTGATGGGTTATATTCCACTGAACCTTAGAAGGATTCTTACCTTTAGTCAGGTCAGTCAAAACAGCAGCTCGTTTTTGAAAAGTTAGGAATAAACTTTCTGTAATACCCAACTAACCCAAGAAAAGATCTGACCTGCTTCTAGTAACCCCTAACGGGTCGTACAAGACTACAACTGGGCCAAGAGCTTACTCATGAAATTGGATCCCTGGTCAGACACTATTTCATCGGGAATACTCACCCTAGAGAAATACTGAATCAATGCTTCCGCTACAGCCTTTGCGTTTGTTGTTCGCGAAGGTATGGCCTCTGGATACCGTGTAGCATAATCTACTATTGTTAAAATGTATTTATAGCCAGTTGTTGTCCTAGGTAATTCACCAACGATGTCTATAGCGATCTTCTTAAAAGGCTCGTTGACGATTTCCACCGGTTTTAAAGGTGCTCTTTTTGACTTTAATTTCCTGGCTACCAACTGACATTGAGGACAAGTTGCCAATATTTGCGTACATCAAAACTTAGACCAGGCCAAGAAAAATGCGCAGCTATCCGGTCAAATGTCTTTTTGCTACCCATATGACCTGATGAGGGGATTGTGTGTTCAACCCGCAAAATTTCGTTTCTGTAGGATTCTGGCACTACAATACGATCAACATACCTAGTCCCATTATGCTCATCTGAGAGATATTTGCGATGAAACAAGGGGTCATTTGTGAAAAAGTAGCCATCTGATTCTTCTGGTGCCTTTTGGAACGCTTCACGGCGTTTCTTCTCGAGAGTTACGTCGGACTTTTGATCCGCAATCAGCTGACTTCTATTACGGTCGAGGATGTTTACTGGAAAATTATCCTCTTCAGGTTCGGTTACCACAGTACCATTCTCGGAATTCTCCTTACCTTTCTCTTCCGGTATCTTTCCCTCAAAGAGAGTTTGCAGATCTCCTTCCTCTGGACCCTCACGTTTCGTCTCTTCTTTTTGATAAACTTTTGACTGCTATTGAACTTTCTCGATCAATTAACTCATCTGTTCTCAACTGGGCTTCTTCTAATGCTCTCTGTCTTCGATTCACTACGAAGGCCTCTTGTCCACCAGCATCAGCTGCCGAAACGTTTTCCTCCCATTGGTCCAAAATATTTTGCCTCGAAAGCGTCTTTCCAAAGGAGGACCTGCCAAGTAAACAATCTACCGGTAGTTTGTCCAAAACTCCAATTAATTCTACATGTTTACCTTCCTTGCTATCAAATTCAACATTTGCAAGGGGAACTGTAAGACGCTCTCCCGCAGCTGTTAATATTGTGATTTCACCAGTCAAGGCTGAGCTGTTTACATATTTGCTGTGAACTAGAGTCCTAGTACACCCAGTATCAACGACCATTTCTGCAAACTTTCCATTTATTTTACCTCGAACATTGCAGGGAGGAAACTCAGATTGTTCTGTCGTTAGAGGTGTCATGCACAACAGGTACCCCTCTGAGGGCTTCCCACGACCCTTACCACAGTTAAACGCCATGTGTCCTGGTTTACCATATTTGTAGCACTTAATTTCAGGCTTTAATTTGTAGTGCTTTGTTCGGAAGAGCGTGAGGGCTTTGAAGGCTTTTCTTGATTTTGATTTTGTTTCTCTTCGGGCAAAGAATCATCTGCCTTACCTCCAAACCTTTCTTTTTTCCCAGATTTTTCCCCACCTCGGTTTGTTACATACTTACCCCCGAAAAGTGGCCCTTTTCTGGAATGAACATGCAAATTGGCGAGATTACCAAGTTCCTCAGCAGTCTTTGTCTCCTGTTTCTTTAACCAAGCTCTAAGTTCAGGGTTTAGTGCATCGAGGAATCGCTCCATCATTATTTGTTTGGTGATCTTTTCTGCATCCCCTGTAGCCTCGGCAACGGCCATCCAACGATTGAGGTACCTACGGGTCCTGTTTCCTTTTCTCCGAGGTCCGAAACCTATATCTATAATGATCAGCAGTTAACTGGTAAGCTTTAATGATAATGGCCTTACTTTCGAAATAATCTTGGGAGGCAGGGTAAGGAATTTCTGAGTAGATTGACTTAGCCTTTTCAGTTAGCTTGGGTACTAAGTTACCAACCCAGTCCCCCTCAGGTAGGGATTGTGCCCTTGCAGTCATTTCAAAAATAAGGAAATAATCATCCATATCTTCACTTTCCCTCATAAATTTGGGCCCTCTAGTCTCATTGTTACTCACCTGCCGTCTTTCCGACTTTCTTGCAGCAAATTGTTTTTTCTCAGCTCTGAGTCTCTCCTCATTCTCGAATGAAACGTTCTTCTTCTTCCTGGGACTTTTGCCTTTCATACTCTCTTCTTTCTTTCCCCGTCTCCCTTTCTGCCTGACGCCTCTCTCTCTCTCTCTCTCTCCCTAATTTCCCTTTGCTCCTGACTAATTTTCCTTCGTAATTCTAGCATCTACATTTCACGTTCCTGTAGCTGTAATCTTTGTTCAAAACTGAGACTAGTGTCCTGAGCAGACTCCGCAAGATTCTCGTTTTCCCCCTCATCGCCCGAACTTTGGCCTAACCGATCTAAGGTTCTTAGTCTGCTAGCTAAGGTCTTAACCCCGTCCTTACGTGGAAAATAAATACATCTTCTCGTAGTTTCATCCCTAAGCTCTTGTAACGACCAGGAGTCATAGTCGGTGGCTCTAGCGGCCATGATAAATCCTAAATACGGTAATTGTATACGTGTCTCCGTGTGAGCCGTTTATGCAAACCGTATATTAAAAAAATCCTCTTAACGTTTATTAAAACAATACTCCCAAAACTCCACGATTTTAAGATTAACTAGGCGTTTCTATAGTTATACTCGTTTCACTAAACAATTAAAACGGGATAATTATTCTAATTAAGACTAATGCGATACTACTTTTGGTAATTATTTTACACAAAATACACAGCAATTTTTGAACTATTTAGTAGCTCAAAACAACAGGGGCCGCCCAAGGACTTATGGAAGGACGAATTATACCCATTTCTAACATTTTCTCAATCTCTTTGTTGACCACCTCTTCTAGTCTTTGAGGTATTCTATAAGGGTACACTTCGGATGGGTGATGACCCGCCAGTGTCGATTTTGTGTGTAGCTACATTCGTTAAGTTTGGTTTTCCCGCAAACACATCAGAATACTCATGTAATAAATTCCTCACCTGGCTCCTTTGGCCTTTGGTTAAGTCATCCGAGATCATAACATCTTCCCAGGTTTCCTCGTGACCAAAGGGGAGAACATTGCTTTCGTGGGGTAATGGAATTTCTGGGGACTCTTCCATCACTAAAGCGGCCATTTCGTCTCTGCTCTGCCATTTACTTAACAAGTTAATATGATAAGAGCGATGCTGCTTGCAAGTCTTACCGGTGTCAAATTTATAATTCAACCCATCTTCTAGTGCTCTCGTGACTGTAAAGGGTCCTTGCCATTTCATCTCTAATTTACTTCCAGGGGTGGGCAACAAAACTAAGGCTGTGACGAGATCGACCACAAAAATGAGTCCTCTCCAACGATAACACCGAGCATAGACAAACTCAAGAAAACACGTAAAAAAAAAATAATACTCTAAACGTTTATTGAAACAACACTCCTAAAACTCCACGATTTTAAGATTAACTAAGTGTATCTACATACTCGTTTCACTGAACAATTAAAACGGGATAATTATTCTAATTTCTAAAGACTAATTCAATATTACTTTTTTTTTTACACAAAATACACACGCAATTTTTGAACTACTTAGTCCACTTTACAACATATTTACAAATTATCTTCTTCGAACACGCAGTAATAGTTCCCTTTTTAGTTCACCTTACGTATAAAACAGAGTTCCTCGTCTTTCCTTTAGTCCAGCCCGCCGCGACTCCTTCCGAACACAACACCAATTTTACTCGATCCCAAAACCTCCAAACTCCAGTAGCCGCCTTTCTCTTATACCTTTCACAGACTTGTTTGGTCGCTCGGCTGGCTTCGGTCTTCCGGTCTGCCGCTGCTCTCTAGTTCAGTCTGGTTTTCTGCAACCGTTCTTGGAGAGAGTTATGTAACGCACTGACTTCTGGAGAGATATTACGGTCTCCACAATACTTCTCCTGCTCTCTCAACTTTTACAGCACATCAAACGGCTTTCCCCCGACAAAATGACTTCTTTTGCCGTGAAGTTAAAAGGGACGCCTCTGCTGAAGGGATTTCAGTAGAACGGCTTGTGCTTCAAGGTCTCTCTCTTACAGTCTCTCTGAACGCACCCTCCGCACTGACTTTTTAGTCACGCGGCTCCTTCTTAACATCTAAAACTTCCAAATCTCATGCAAATGCAAGGTGTGGCAAAAAGGGATCATTGTAAAAGGTCCGATCTAGTAATTAACGGCTTACAACCAATAGAGCGGCTTACAATGAATATTTTACCTTATTATAGTTTTATAACGAATAATAAAGTACCAACTGCAACAATAAAGGTTACGCAATATCGTACACGGCAAAAAAAAAAAAAATACTTAAACAAAAAAATTAGCATAAAAGAAGTAACTATTATTAATTAGGCATTTTATGACTGCTGTCAAAACACTAGCCTTCGAATCACCCCTGATAAAATGAAATTGCTTTTTATTGGCACCCGCCAAATGCTACAAACTGTGCCCGCAGATTTGGATTTACCCATTACTTTACTGGGGATATATATGAATCCTTCATTGAGTTTTAATGACCACATAAAAAGTATTTCATCTTCTCGTTTGTCGAGTTTATGTCAAATTAATAGGGTAAAACATCCTTTAGACCAAAATAGACTGCAAAACAGTCGGTTTTTTTTCTCAAAATCAGTAAATAAATCGGTAAAGCGTGCCGTAAGAGTCTTACGCGCGCGAAGCTTGCGAGCCTCTGTTTTCAGCCTCGTTCCAGACCTTTTGTTTGACTGCTCGCGCGTACTTGAATACGCAAAAATACGGACTGTTTTGCAGTCTAAGACCAAAACACTTTATCAAACGTCACCAATGTACTAGTCTTTAGCAAACTATACTAATGTTCTTCTGTCTGGTCAAGGACGACGAATAGGAATATCGATAAATTACAGAATGTTCAAAACTTCGCAGCTAGGATCGTAACCCGTTCGCGTAAATTTGATCACATCGTCACCCCTGGTCTTAGAGAAGTAAAATGGCTGTCTGTCGCATCCATGCTTGTCTACTAGGGATGGCATACTGGTTTTCAAGTGCTTAAGGAGATTGGCTCCAGACTATCTGGCTGAAAAATTTAGAACGAATTCTGATTTTCACAGCAGAGACACACGTAACAAGAATAAGATTGACATTCCAGGGCACCGAACTGCAGGTAGGCCAAAGGTCCTTTCATTATCGGGCCGTTTCACTGTGGAACTTTTTGCCCGAAAGGCTCACTAGACCCTCACTGAGACGACAAACATTGCACCATTCAAGAAGAAACTTACGCGTTATTTAAAATCGTCTCAGTAAGCAGTCTATTTTTAAGACAGGGTTTCTTATATAGATAAAAAAAAATCTTTATTCAATACTCATAAAAAAGAATTATGTACAGAGCTTCACTTAAAAAAAGAATTAAAACGAAATTTGTACCTTAACATCTGTTAGAAAAAAGAAAAGATCATAAAGTCTCAATATCTGCAATATCTCTTGAAATATAATCCACGAATATGTTTCTCTAATAATTATTATTACTATTACTATTAGTAATCAGTACCAATATTTAGCATCTTTTCACTAATTCCTCTTTAAAATCTGGCACGATTTCAACATGAACCAACAACGAGAAGAATATGAAATATAAAGTATATTACTTATGTCTTTGTAATGGAGAAAATTAGAGACTATATTATTGATATCTAGATCTTGTTAAAATCTTGAGAATATATAGTGTCATTTTCTAATGTTTTATATTTTTATAAGGATATTTTTATTCATAATTACTTTGAAAAGCCATTCGTGGAAAGTAATAAAGTCGGTTATTATTATTATTGTCATTATTATTATTACTATTATTATTATTACTATCTTAATATCTCTGCATAATGGAATTCTTAATTTTATAGAATTTTGAACTTTTATTATTAATTATATCTATTTCCTCTTCTTTTATGTAAGGTTAAGTTACTTCTATTTTTTAGAATTTGAAAATGAATAGTTTTTTCTATCTTCACTTATAATATATAGGATTGTTTTTGTTCTCTAATGAAGGACGAGGGGTTTCTTTTGTAACAGATGGAATTGTAGATAGTGTTTTTGATGAATTACTTAGATTTTTTGTAACAGCAGGTTGATTGTAAATAGGATTTTAATTGAGGTTTTGTAATAAAGATTCTTTTCTTATTATTACTATTATTAAGAAGACAGTAATTACTTAGTACTCAGTTTAACGTCAAAGTACTTTAAAAAAGAAACTGACAGTAGCAGGGGCACCTTAGAAGCAACAAATATGTAATTTCAGATATCATTTCCTACTTCTGCGCTGTTTCAGTGGTATTAATTATAACGACTTGGTTTAAGAGATGGAAGCTAGGCTAAGTTAGATTTCGCAAAGATGCCTGGGATTGTTACTGGGGACGCTTCAGTCCCAGAGGTCTTTGCTTCCTGTTTCCTTTCTGTTTCTAAAGTGGCGATCATGATTAGCTTTCAAGCTTGGTCAACCACGGTTTGGCAGTCAAAACATGGTTAAACTTTTGTCTCACGGCTCCCGCATAACAGAGTCTTGCTTGATCAAACCAATCGCAATTTCTTGGGACTCTATGTTGAAATTAAAATTTAAAAAATTAATGGGTTTAATTAGCAAAACAACAACTTTGCGCGTGCAGCACACTTTTTTTGTAAATTTCTTTCCCGTCACTGCACGACTACGACGTCAAAATGCCTAACTCCACGTTTTATGGAGTAAACAAGTGACGATGAAATTTCTTTTCTCTTTCTGAATTTGGATATAATTCTAAGGAATTAAACTTACAAGGAGAGTTCGCCTGCATTTGACAAAGTAAGTGGGTAACAATTAATTTTTATGAAGATTACAAGAACGCTAATTTCTTTATTTTAAAAGCGACGTTTTCGCCGCAGTCGCCGTCCTCGGGTCTTAAAGGTTATTTTACACGAGACGATTCGCAACGACGATTTTTAGCTCAAAAAAGCTTGCAACATTGTTGCGACATTGTTTCGAATAGTTACAACATTGCTGTAACATTGCAACGATGTGTTGCACTAAAAATAGTCGTAGCGAATCATCTCGTGTAATATCACCTTAACGTCTCCATTCTTTTTCGTGACGCAATCTCAGTTGTTCATTTGTGAGTGTGAGTATAGTAGTCTTATTAGGCGTAGTGTCTAAGATTAAGGCTATGTTCACAGTATACCGTTTAACTTTTCGTGCTGACATGATATGTTATCCGGTATAGTATGAACAACTGTCCAGTATGTTACTCTCCACTTTACAGATCCACGCAGCGCATCTAGGCTCCATCACAGAATACACGCCGAAATCACGGTTCATATGTGTAAACAGAAGCCGTATAGTGTGAAAATAGGTTTAATACTGACTTGAACATCTCTTAACTAAAGTGTTACGTTGTTTCAAGATCAATCCACTACTAATAGACCTATTCGAACCTATTCGGCTGACTCAGTGTTGTACCCAATTCAAATCTCCCAGGGTTAAGATTCTT